ACATATGGGAACAAGGTGTAGGACTACACATAGGCTTGGTAGCATGTAAACCCTAAACCCTAAACCCTAAACCCCTAAACCCTAAACCCTAAACCCCTAACCCCTAAACCCCTAAACCCCTAAACCCTAAACACATCCACACGCGGCCGAGGAAGGAGCTGAGACGCCTCGGGAAGGCCGGGAAGGGGGCAAAAAGGGCCCCCCAAAAGGGGCGCTTTGAGATTTTTTTTTTGGGTTTTGGGGTGCTGTTTTGGGGGCTTTAGGGTTTTAAGGGTTGTGTACTGTGGGATTGTGGGGCTTTAGCGTTTTAGGGTTTAGTGTTTACTATTCCAAGCCTTCGAGAGAGCGCTGTGCAGGAATACGAAGAGCGCAGCAAGGACGAAGCAGCGACCTTCCTGCAAGAGTTTGGGATGGCTCTTTGAGGTTTAGGGTTTGCTTTAGGGAGACAGAGTCCTGGGTAGCGGACTTTTTGAAGCAAGCGGGGGTTTAGGGGGTTTGGGCTTGTGCCGAGGTGGATAACATCTGTGGCGAGAATGGCGTGCCGGTTCCTGAAATGGACGCAATCGTCCTGAAGTGGCTGGGAGGCAAAAAAAAAACTCTCGAGGATTGAGACTGAAACCCCCATCCTCACAGGTTTGCTTGCGAAGGGGCCCTCAAAAAGTCCTAATAATTATATCACAAAAGACACCACATCACCCTAACTGCACCTCATCTAAGAAGCCTCCAGCAAGGAACAAGACCAGCGCCACCAATTCGCTGTCCCAGCGCGGGCCTGAGCAAAGAAGCACCGACAAAAGCCCAAAGTGGTTTAGGCACTTAGGGTTTTGGGATTTGGTGTTTAAGCATAATTTAAGTTTTAGGGTCTTAGGCTAAGGTAGGTTCTTCTTGTTCTTTCCAGCGCAGGGAAAGGTGGAGTTGGGGGCCAAAGCCGATAAAGCTCACAGGCTGACAGGGCTGAGTTCTTTTTTTCAGAGTCGAACTTCCAAAGCCCACCAGAATCCTCCCAGGGATCCGGCGATCTTCTGTGAAGCTTTGACTTCAGGGTCTGGCAACGAGCAGACCCCGACTAGTGGCCTCCACCCGCATCCTTTCATTCCACTGATCCCCAAGCCGTCTCGCTTCAGGACAGAGTGGCTGTCCATGGAGGCTGGGAGCCGGTTGTTCGCTCCCCAAGCACCTCCACAAACCCTGGGCCCGCACAGCATACCAGGAAGTCCCCCACTTGGAGACAGGCAGCGATGCCCGCGGAAGAGCGGCAGACGCATCGCAACCTCCAGGCCCTGGCCATGGACAGCCCCATGAGGGCTTTGGTGTCTATCTTAGCCCTCAACCCCAGACCAGATCATCTAAGTTCTGGTGGCCGCCGTAGGAGTCGGTCATACGAAAAAAAAGCAGTGGGACTCTTGAGTGTCTGAGTTACGGAGCTTTTGTCTGAGGCCCAGCTTCCCCTGCACCCCAAGCCCCAGACCCTATCGGCCCTATTCCTGCACCCTAAACTGCCCTTGAAGCACTGGAGCCAAAGAAGCCGCAGATTTTCTTCATGGAGCGGGCGAAAGCCGCCGGCGTCAAGGAGAAAGAGGAGGAGGAGGAGGCCGGGCCCCGAGACCTCTTTTTTTCAGGGCTCTGCCTTCTTTCTTGGGGGGGGGGGGGGGGGGGGNNCTTTAGCACATTCATCTGTGGGGATTGCGAGGGGGACTGAGGCGTTTACTGGGGGTGAGGGAATGTAAAGTCTCAAAAAATCCATGTTGTCGGAGCCCGAAGGTCTCCATAGCTTCTGAGCTTCAGCTGAATTGAAGCTCGGCCACGGGAACCCGTGCCTTGAAGGCCCGACAGCATAAGCAAACCCCTGAAAGAGTGAGGCCTCCCTTAAGCCGCGCATGGGGTGGGGTGTTGGGGTTCTGCGAACCCCCAAGTCGTGATTCAAACCTAAACCGCGCGGTTAACTTTTGACTGACTGAATTCGTCGGAAGAGGATCTTGCTTCGAATGCCTGCGTTAGGCTGCCTTGTCTTCTGACTGTGGTCCTGTTGCCTCTTCAAATCTCGAGCCGTAGACCCTAACACCCATTTAAGAGCTTTAAGCCCCCCCCCCCCCTCAAACGCTAAACCCTGGACCATGCTGGAAAGGCCTTACTGCAAGCTTTGTGGGGCTTTCCCATGCAAATGCCGAGGAAGAAGATGATCCCGAGATGCTCGCTCTCATCGAGAACGGCGGCGATGCTCCGGAAGGAGGCGCCTTGGGCCCCTAGGACCTCGGGTGCTGCAGGGCTTCGATGGTAGTGCTTGTCTTTATCAAGACTGGAACATGGATCTTACTCACATGTAGGCCTTCAAGAAATGATGGTCGATGGCCAGGGGTCTACATCGGAGTTGTTGTGGTCGTCCTCCCAAGGCTTTCGAGCAATCGGAGTAGGAACGCAGAGTATGAGCACGCCAAGCTAGGACGCAGGCGTCACTCCGCTGTGAAACACCCTTTGCTGCAGGCGATGCTGCAGAGAGCGACGACGAGGATCCGCGAGACACGGCGCGGAAGAAGCAGGCCTGGGGCAAATGAGATCCTCTGAGAGTAGGATTCGTCTACGGGAACTCCAAAGACAAACTACCCAAACTCTCCCGAGGAGGAGGAGGACAAGGAGGCGGTAGGGACCGTCGAGAAGCAGAAGAACTGGAGTTCTGTGAACTTGGCTTTTCAGGCCATGCAGCTGGATCGGTGCTTTAATTAGGGACTTAAATTCATGTGGGCATTGGAGCACTGGATGCAAGGGTTGTATGTGAGGTCTCCATGGCTTTTGTACATTCGCAGCTCAGTTGCGCATCTGCGCCTTGCTGTTCACTTCTCGGCCCGATCCATCCGGAACCCTAGTTGTCCCTTGCTCCAGCCGACACGAACTACATTAGTAACTACATGTAATGACATCCTCAGGCCTTGTTTCGGTCTTGGTTTTGGCAGCTGGAAGCGCCGGGATTTAGGACTTTGGGCGTTGGCAGCTGGGTTCTTCCGACGTGTTGGGAGGTCAGTCTTGCAGTGGTTCGATGTCCGTAGCCGTACAGACGGCCCACCCTGAACTTAAACTCCACACAAAAATCCTTGAAAGCCTTCCCGCAATAATGAAGCCGCCGAAGTGGCCAGGAGTCCAAGTTGAACTACCGGGGTAGCTTCTCCGCCTTGTCCTTCACCAACTGGCTGTGGTACAGGCGCCTCCAGAAAGCACGCCTTGAGCCGTGATCCCTGCATCCCGAACCCAAGCCTTCAACAAAACACCGCGAGAGACCCGGAAACCGATAGGGTTTGAAGCCACTGCTTCGGGTCGGGGTTGTTGGGTGCCTGTCTTTATGTTCGTTGATCTTCTTAACCTGTTCAGGCTGTACGTCTTCGTGGTTGTTCACGTCATCCGAAAACTAAACGAGACCATGGGCTCCTGGTTGGCGTGTTTGGGGGATCTGAACCCAAACGCATTTACTGTCGGCGGTAGTCCCAGACTACAAGCCCTGAGTTGCTGACACCTGTGGCCCGTCACCAGAACCACCTAGCCCCATGAAATCCGAAAGCCCAAAGCCCTCGTGGCAGCTCGCCAGAGTCTTCTACTTCCCACCCCAAGCCCTCAACACCCCGACCTCCCAAAAGGTCCCCACCAGTCCCTGAACAGTACCTTCTCCCACAAGCCTAAAGCGCCCAGGGTCGTCCGACCGAAGTTGGAAGAGACCAAGTCGAAGATGGTGGAGCTCAGCGACGAGGTGAGCTTGGGTATGCTTGGGTTTGAGGGCTTTTAGTTTTCTTTACATGCTAGCGATTCGGATCGGGATAGTTGCTGGTGTTTCGCTGCAGCTCAAGCTGCTGGGAAACAGACTTAAGCCAAGTTGTTGTCCCATCCACTCCATGCCTTGCGACCACTGCCACCCGTAAGCTCAAGAGTGGCAGCAAGCAGATGCTAAGCGGTTGCAACCAATGCTTCGTCGCTTCGCTTTTTGTCACAGGAGCTCGAGAAATACGGCATTCCGGATGTCGAGGCTCCGTCCATTTAGGGCTGTGTGAGCAAGGGGCGAGTATTTCTACGGAGCAGGTTCGTGGTATGATCAATACGGCTTTTGCGGTTTCTGAAGCTGTCAGGCCCGGAACCCAAAGCTCTGAGCGTGTACATGGCCCGTCGCGTTGTACTGCCCTGCAGCTACTTGCAGCGACCCTCGCAACCTTTTGCTTCTGGCAGGAAGTCCTCGGCGAGCAGCTTTCCTACCAATTCTGAGAGCGGGGACGATTATGTCATATTGTATGGGTTTTGAGGAGAGGATATCTCAGGATAACCGGTCTAAGATTTTAGGGCCCGCCACCTGTTCTGAGATTGGACCCTGGTGGTGTGGAGTTTGGTGTGTAGGGGGCATTGGTTTTCGTGGAAGAGTAAAACCCCCGTCTGAGCCGGCGGCTCTGCGTACGACCCCGCATCCTGTTGCAACCCGCAAACCCAGGTTTATGCCGGCTCAGAAGAAGAAGGAGGACCGCTGCCTTCGGTGATGGCTTTCCTGAAATGCTTCAGAGAGCGCCTTGTTCAAAGAGCCCTAAGTCCCAATCCCCAACAACCCTTCCGAAAAAGACAGGTTGAGCTCCGGGTCCCTTCAGGAGGAAAAAGACAAGAAAGATAAAAAGGACAAGAAGGACGACAAGGACAAGAAAGATAAAAAGGACAAGAAAGAGGAGGCCCCGGGCTCCCGCCATTCCGTGAGCCTTTTCCGAGACTTTTTTGTGTGGGTTCTTTTCTCTGACTTGACGAGCGATGTCTTCGTTGTGCTTTGCTTGCGATTGGGACCTCTCTTCTGGTGTTTAGGTGCAGTGCCTTGGTTCTCTCTCAGTGGGCGTGCAAGAGCAGCGAGAAGTGAATCCCAAGAGCAGCGCTATAGGGATGCAGTGCTGGCTCAAGAGGATGACAAGAAGGATAAGAAGGACAAGAAAGACGCCAAAGCGCCTTGGCTGTAGGATCTTGTGCGCAGGCCCGCTGTTGTTGGGCTTCATGCAAAGAGCTCTCGCCGGACTTAGGATAAGAAAAAGAAGAAAGATGCGGTGCAGCTCAACCAGAAAGAGAAGCTGCAGGTCCACACGGGAGCGCGGACCACTGTAGGCTTTTTTCTTCGAGAGTTCCGCAGATGACAGGGGCCTGGGCTCGTTCGGAGTTAAGGGCTTTGGGCCGCTGTGGTTGGGGCGCCTTTGAGATTGAAGACATGGTGCTTCTGCGTGTAGTTAGGGTGAAAGGTGATATGAAAGTTGGACCAGGGTGGGGCTTCAAGAACCAAGATGCAAGCCGTCGGGTTCAAGACGAATGATTCGGTATGGACAAACCGTGACAGACCCTTGCATATAGGGATTTCTGTGCATTTTGGGGTTGCCATGCCCTTCCAAGCACCAACTCCTGACGACCACCTGGCAGGTGCAAAACCTGATCAAGAACATGATCTACGGAGAGCACCTTTACTCGTTCTGGACATTTCAGGAGTTTCGGCCTCTCCGCGCCCTAGGAAATGATCACCCTCGAAAGAGCCAGACCGAAAACCCGAAGCCCAGCTTTAGAGTTCTCCCGATCCCGAGGTGTCCCGAACCCAGAAATGAACAAAAACCCTACCTGGACCCCACGATTTCAATGAGGTCCGGCAAGAACAAGACAATCACAACCGGATGGGTGAACTTGGTGGATGAGAAAGACATTCCCAGGCCGGACGAAGGTTCCAGATCTTGGCATTGCTTCACGATGTCGGGTTTCCACCTGGTTTCAGGTTCGGGGCTTCGTGGTGTGAGGGTCTCGTTCACGGGGAATCTTGTTTCGAGTTCAAGGTCCGAGGATGTGTTGCTTGGGCCAAGATCCTGACGAGTGGTTTCTCACAGGTCCTTGAAGTCAGGATCTTGTACTTTCGGCTCTTTGGCTCCACGTTTCAGGGTCCGATAGCAAGGAGTCTGCGCGAACCGGAGCTGATCCGAGCTTTCCCGAAGAATGCACGAGCCCGGCTTTGCGCCGTTGAGCAAGCAGCAGGCTCTTCTTTTCGGGGAGGGTCCTGCGAACCCCACAACTCCGAGCGCACGTCCCGAAAACCGTCCCCCTTGAGTCCAGAACTTGAGATTCTTACGAGCCCTGGAAGAGGTTGACTCCCTGGGAGTTCCAGCTGGCGCACATCATGCGCCTTGCTGTGCAAGTTTGCTCAAGTTTGGGAGTCCCAGGATGATCAAAGAAGTGCACTGCCTGAAGGATGCAGGGCTTTTGGTGTTCATGGGGCAAAGGCTTCGGGCTTCATCCCCTCCAACATGGATCTTCGCGGGTTGGCGCAGACTTCTTTGTTCATCTGCCTTCTCCAGGACTCCAAACGCCGAAGGTAGCACCGGGAAGCCCTGAAGCAGTCCTTATTTGAGGCTTCAGGAAGCCAGGGTTTCTGCGTTTGGCCAGGGATGCCTCCTCCGATCCGGGCTCGGAAGTCTCAAGCGCAGGAAGCTTGAACACCCGGAGGCAGGAAACACCGACATTTCTCGGACACCTGCAACCCTGTATGCCAGAATGCCCCCAAGCTTGCAGCCCTTCAGGGCTTCAACCGCAACACCGCTCCGAGGCGAACGTCCATGGCGCTGGAGTACAGCGCCAAGAAGAAGAAGGCTCTCGCTTGCGAAGTTTGGGGGAAGATGTGGGTTTCATGGTTCAGGATGGGGAGACTTGAGGAGAGCGGCTTCTGTGGTGTGAGGGACCAGGGTTTCAAAACGTGTGTATAGGCTGGAGTCGGCTTGAGGGCTCCGAGTTGGAGTTTGAAAGCCTGGGGTGATCTAAACGTGAAGTTCTACAAAAACTTACCACCCAGTCCCGATCCGAACTCACACTCTCAACCTCACCCAAGCCGTATCATGACCGTACCAAGATAAACCAAGACCTGGACCCGAAACCCCAAACTGGAAACCTTCACCTCACATGCCAAGACCACAGCTAGAAACGGCTCCACAAAAGTGCCTTCCGCTGGTTCGCTCCAGGAGGTTCCCGACCTCAATCTCTACTACGCCCTCTTGGCAGTATTCAGTGCCTGTTTTGTTTGACTTTTGAGTGTTTAGGGGCATTTGTTTGTCAAGCAGAGTTTCGGGCATTCATGGTCTAGGTCTACTTTCGCCATTTTATTCGTGTGGGACCTGTGGGTTAGAGTTTTGGACTCTTGGGAGCGGTCAGCTTCGTGAGAAGAAACCCCGATTCCACGTCGGAGCAGGGCCCCAAAGCCACCCTCCTCCCGCCGCTCCAAGACTCCCTCCCAGGTCCCGCGGTTTGGAGTTTATGGTTTTGAGGGGTTTAGGGTTTAAGGGTTGATTGAAGGGTGTAAATAAAGGGTTCAGGGTTCAGGGTTTTCAGGGGTTAGGGGTTCAGGGTCAAGCTCCACAAAAGCCCTGTGAAGCCTTCGACCCAGGAGATGTGCCAGTCCTTGGCCGACGCCATCGGCCTCATCAAGAAGCAGCCGCCCAGCTCGGCAAGGATTATCGTAGTGTAATCACCGGTTTGATTTGCCAGGTCATAGTCAGAAGGATTACCGGATCATTTTCAGTATCGTCGTCACCAGCATCATCATCGTCATCATCAGCAACACTGTCTTACACCACCACAACGACAACAGTAAGTATGGCAATGGCGTATGGCACTAACATCAAGAGAAGCTCCCATAATCGAAAGCCGATACAAGCGGTTTGGGACTATGATGTCAGGTAGGTTGTTTCGGCTTAGAGAAGGTTAGCAACATCATAAGTTCAGGTATTGGGGCTCACTTATGTCGGAATCCCTTAGCTCCCCTTCCATCCTCAGGTACTCCTTCGAGTTCCCACAGAACTCCCTGGAGGCCGGGGCAGCCTGGGTGGAGGGCAGAAAGGTCCAGGTCGCCTTTGGAGGCTTTCGAGTTTTGGGTTCTAGGGGCTTTCGCACCGTATCTAGTTGCTTTCTGTTTGCAATAATTGCCGCTTTGGGGAAAAATAGCTTCTCGCGGCCGGTTTAGCCTCAGGCTGCTCAACGCAACCCCCAAGAGTCTGGAGCCCGAAAAATGAAACTAGACTCGCAATTGACTCTTCCACCCACACTTATGCCGCATGCGCTGAACTCTTGGCTGCGGCAAACTCCGTGCTGTTTCGGTTTTCGGATTTGAGTCTCATGGCAGGGTCTAGTTGGGCCCTGTTCCCCAGACATGCAAGCCCGCAAACTCTTTGCCTACACCCGGAGTCAAGGAATTGATGGTCTGGCATGCGGAGTGCGACCCGAATGTGGATCAGGGGAGAAATAATAGCTAGCTTTTTTTGGTGCAGGTTTACAAGCAGACAGCCCCAGATAGCCCGTCAGTAGCTGTATCCCTCCCCACCGTATTGACTACAAACCCTCGAAGCAAACTTGATCCCAAAAAGCCTGAAAGACTAAACACCCCAAACCTCAGAGATAAAACTTCAAACAAGGTGGCTGGAAACTCCAATGAGCCCTCGCTGTGCAGGATGTCTTGCCGCTACAGGACGCCCTGGCTCTGCAGACTCGCTTCCGCGAGGGCTCCGTGGCAGGGGTCGCCTCAGCAGCAAGAAGGACCACCAAAGCAGCAATTTTGCAATGACCCGAGCAACAACAGCACTATTCATGCCAACAGTACTAATATCACAACAACAACAACAACTGGCAATAGAAAGACGGTGTGTTGCTTTACACTAACTTTCAGTCAAGTCTTACGAGGATGTGCCTAGTTTACCCGCGCACGCTTGAGTCTCTTCCTCCCGAGCTGAAGCACAGCCATGCGGAGGTAACGAGCCGTGTGGCAGAAGAAAGGGCTATCCCCGAACACCGAAAAATCCATAGCGAGCATATTACACTTGAAGCCTGGAGGCGGACCTACGCTAATAGAGCCAAACGCTGGACCCTGCACCAACTCTTTCAAATCCTCCGAGGCCAGGTTCGATCTCTTGTGGTACCTCCAGAATGGCGCCCATCTGCTGGCTGGCAGCCACTTCACCGGCATATGGACATAGATATGCATTACGCCAGCAACCATTGCTATTCTCCTAATCTAGCAAGCAGGTTCACCTCCTTCTATTTCGAACGAATGCCTAACGAAGTCCCTGTTGCAGACAGATCTTCCAAGAACATCCCTTCGAAGGGCTGAACTTCCAACTCCCCTGAAAATGAGTGCCGAGGTGGCTTTGCCAAGAAGCACCGCACCACGGTCTTCAAGCCGTTCAAGATCCAGGTACCGTCCACAGAATCGGTCAGGCCCTGGGCCCTCAACTGGGCCCTCGCATTTACCGAAGCCCAGAGCCCTCAGCCATAGTCTCATCCCCAGTGACAGGCCTTACACACCGAAGCAACAATTCAAAGCACCCAAAGCCTCGCACTGTGTTACCAAGCTCTGTGCTGGAGCACCTTACTCGGATCTTCCGAGAACACTGTCGATTCGCGGACTGTCTGATGAGGGCCACACATGCATGCTAAGGGCCTGGGGGCCTTGAGAGTCATGGCTCCTGATAACTCTTAACCACCCGCGAAGCTGTCGAGTGCGGAGGAGCTGATGATCGATGCCATCCTCCAGCCAGGACGGAAGCTACGATCCGGCAGACGATTGATCCGAGCAAGCTCAGCAGCAACAGCAGCCAGATAAATTCCAAGCACGAAAAGCTCCCTCGGAGAGCGTCGGAGGACCGCAGCTCGTCTTCGGCATCGCACCGCCTGGCACGGGCAAGACCGCCGTCGTGTCTCACATTCTGAGCTTCGGGCATCATTTTATTCGGTTCAGGCAGTGTTGGTGTAGGATCTATCGCTCACTGGCCTTGCCGAAGCTGTGGGTTTGAGGATGTGCGCAGCTTCCACATAAATCCTGAGCTTGAAGTCAGTTGGGATTCATACTGCCAGCCTGAAGCAAGCTGTGAGATCCTTTGGCCTGAGACTGTACTGGCATGGCGCCGAGGAACCTTTTTCCTGTCCATACGCTGCCCGGCTATCACGTGGATGCCGGCTGTTGGGCTTTGAGTTTGGGTTTAAGGGGATGCAATGTAGGGCTTTGAGTTTGGGACCATCAGGTTCAACGGGGCGCTTTGCCCCAACACCTCAACTTATGTCACACCCTGCACCGGAATCCTGTTCGCCCCCGAACCTTCCAGCTTAAGCTTCTACAACCACCCAAGCTCGAACATTTTTAGCCTCGGTACATCTTTAAGAGTGCGAAGAAGCCCCGGGTCCTCCAACTACACAGGTTTAGGGTTTAGGGTTTAGGGTTTAGGGTTTAGGGTTTAGGGGTCGAGAGCTCCCGTCTCGAGGGGTCTCCAAGCAGACGCCCCGGCGCGCCGCATCACGAGCCCCAAGCCCCAAAACATCCTCCCAAGCCCCGAACCCTCAACCCGATTCCTGAAGTCTTCTTCTAAGCTTCCTGAACCCAAAGCCCGAAACATATTAATTAATACATATGTATAAAGATAATAATAACAATAATACAATATATAATATAGTATAATATTATATAATATAATATAACATAATATAGTATAATATATTATAAGATAAGATAATATGATATCAGTGAACCGTCCCCCACCACCCCGGCCTCTCCGGAGACGCCATGGCCCAGCCCCCCGCCAAGCGCCGGCGCTCGGCGCCGGCGACTTCGAAGTCCCTGGAGCCGGGTGAAGAGCAGAATTGAAAGGGTTCAGGGTTTAGGGTTTAGGGTTTAGGTTTAGGGTTTAGGGTTTAGGGTAGAGCGCGTGCTAGCCGGCAGGGCTGTTTGCGGCCATTTCTTTTTGCGCCCAAGAGGAACAGTGGCTGTTCCTTCCTTGTACATCCTAGATCCCCTGCAAACCCAAGCCTCAATATCCGAAGGCGAAAACCCCAAGGTTTTCCTCCTTGATGCTTCCAGGAGCCCCCGACAGACATCTCCATGGCGATCACTCTGAAAGGTGGCTGGGACAAGCAGCGCCTTTCAATGGCTTTGTGCTCCTCTTTAAAAGTGGCTTCTGAAGGGTTGTGCGTCCCGAATGAAAATCCTGAGGCCCGAAAGCCCCCGCGATTCATGCTGATGCGGCGACTTCAGGAGAGCTTGAGTTGAAACGCTTGAAGCGACCCCCAAGCGCCCAAACCTGAAGCCCTTCGCTGTAGCCAGACCCAAGACCGTGAAGCCCTAAACAGACCCCAAGGCAGCGTCATCACCGAAGCGATCTTGCACGGATACAAGGCGCACCTGCGACAGCGTTGCAAATCCCTGTCCTGAAAGTGCTGGGGATTTTGAGGTACTTGCGACTTGCAAGGGTTTAATTCAGGCGTCGGCGTTGGGATTTCGGGTTTAAGGGTATTGAGAAGTCTGGGACAGTCATGAACCTCCTGGAACCCGAGTGCCAGGACGTCGAGAACCGCTCCGTCCACCTGCCTTTGGGGTGGATCGCTTTGCACACGGGGAAGGCTCGGGGTTTTCGATGCGGGCGATTCGATGTTTTGACAAGCCTCGTGGTTAGGGTTTAGGATTTTGGGTTCGGGGTCGTTTATGCTAGCCTAAGCCCTGAACCCCAAAGTGATGTTCACCCGGAAGCCTGGAATTTAGTCCCCTCAACGTTTGCTGCAGGGGAAGTGCGACCTTCGACTGGCCTGGTGCTTAGTTCGACAGAGCGGCTGGCTTGGGATTTCCATGGCAAGCAGTTTCCGAGTCTGGGGTTTTCGAGTTTTGACTTTCAGGTCCTTGACTTCAGTTTTCAGCATAGCCAAGCCGGAAGCTCTTCATTGACGAAGCTCAAGCTGCCCAATCTGTAGATTCAATGTTCGAGGCTTCAAGGTCCCACACATGTGTTCGTGTTTCTAGAGCGGGAAAGCTGAGCGCTCGTGAGGCTGAACTTACCAATAGACTTCCTCCGCTCGCGACCTTGGCCGCAAACCCTCGATGCGGTCTTGCAGAGGACGCCATCATGCGCAAGCTGGCAGAAAAGCCGTTGCCGTCGGATTCCAAGTGCCCGCAACACGGCTTGGTTTGCCAGAAGCAGTGAGGTTCGTGCTGTTAGGTAACTCCTAGCATGCCAAAGCATGTGACCATAGGTTGAGAATCTTGAGTTTGTGTGAGTTCAACTTCGCTGTGCATGGCGTATTCCCTCCAGTTGCGGCTCAGGAAGGGCTACGTCGTTGGAGCTGCTTTTGTCGAGAGATCGGTGCCCTTCCGGCAAAGACGGGAGGATGTCGAAAACATCGGGTTTGGGGAGGTTCCAAGGGCTCGGGGCCAAGCAGCTGCCAGGTGTAGAAACGTGCTGCAGTCTTCGAGACGAGGCTTGCAGGTGCAGGTAAGAAAAGGCGTTTTCGGACACTATGTATTTGCATCTGGTTGCTGACTTGTTGAGGTGCTCCTGGGGCTGCAAGCAAATTAAGCCAAAGGTGCTCGGTGAAGGGACTCGGCGATCTAATCCGATCTCACATCACCCAGGTGACCACTGGGCCAAGTTTGGTCAGAACCTACCTAAAGTCGCCATTGTAGTCACTTTTCTGGCTAACCATTTCTATGCTTCGGATCCTATATCATAGAACTGGTCAGCCAAAACAGGGAAATGCAATTGAGACGAAAGGTAAAGCTTAAATCAAGATTGAGAGCCAGCTTTCCATCCAATTTCTGCTTGCTTGGAGGTCGCTGGGTGAGTCATCACAACCCCCAACCCACAACCCTAAACCTAAAGCCCTAGCCCCAAACTCCAAAGGACCTTGGCCCCCAAACTCGAAACCTGAACCGAAGGTGCGGTTTCCCGAGCTGCGGGCGGAAATGGGGTGCTCCCAGGACACGGTCACCATAAGTTCAGCAGACCCGGAAGCCAAGGACCCCACGACCCTACAGCCCGAAAGCCCTGCAACCAGCCCTAACTAAGGCCATAGAGACCCTGGAGCCCAGAATATGCCCTAAGCTCGGCCTCCCGCCAGGACTGCGACAGCCCCGCTGGCGATGTGCAGCACGTCGACGGCTGCACATTTAGAGCCTCGGACTGATCTGAAACGGCGAGCCCCAGAAGCTCCATCCCTACGCCTTAAAGCCATAAACCCCCTTACCCCGTAGATCCAGGGTATTCGAAAACACTGCAGGCCAAACTTACAGCCCAAGCCCGGAAGTTGCCGAAAGGCAGTCAGTTTAGGTCCGCACGCCGGTGGCCCCATTTGCAACATCCTCTCGGCTTCGCAGCTTTGCTTCTCCGGTGGGGTATTCGAGCCTGATTGTCTCGAGTGCAAGGGGTTCAGTTTTTCTTGAGGCTCTCGAACTTCGGGCGCCCTAGATATTATGAAGGCACAGCCGTAGAGCAACAGGGCTTCTTTTTGATTTTGCTCTGCAGGTTCGGGCCGAACGTGGCAGTGCAATTTCAGTTGAGACCAGGCGATGTCCCAAGAGATTTTCTGTTGAGGACCCAGCTGCAGCTCAAACCCTGAAGCCTTCGCTCGCACTTCACTACGCCAGTACTCCAAAACGCAAGCAGAGGAGAGAGAGAGAGAGAGAGAGATGGAGCAAGTGGCCTTAGCATGCCTCCTCATGCACTCGGGATGCTAGTAATGGCACACATCACCAATCTTGGTAGCAATAGCAAAATCAGAGAGAGAGATGATGACAGTAATAACTTCTTTTCACAGTTGCAATAGGCACAGCCATCGTTGTCATGGCAGGGCAAGCAGTGGAATGAGTCGAGGGCTCCATCCGAGGTTGCGGCTCAAGACTCCCGTGCCCTGCCCCGGGGAGATGGGCTGCTGGAGTCTTGGCGGCTTTCTCCGTACCCTTCGTTGAGAAGCCGCGGGTATCATGTCTTCTGCTTTCTCTGATGACGAGAACGATGTTGGTCATTAGCAGCGGCAGCTCAGTAGCCCAGGAATGTTTCAGGGGATTCTGGGAGTTCACTCTCGTCCCCGCCACTTGCGCGACCCAGAACCCCTTACACATGCTGAAGTCATGAAGGCGTCTGCCTGAAGCCGTTCGCGAGAAAGTGGTGGCGCAGCTTGACGCCGAGGAAGTGATGATTTTCCGCAAGGCCAGAGTCGTCAGACCAGATCCTGAATAAACATGATCAGGATAAGAGTGAGGACAATGAGAGTGATGATAAAGAGAATGAAGGAGACGATGATCATCACAGAGTTCAGACTTTCAGAACACGTCAGCGTAATGGAGGGCATCGCAACAGCCAGCAGTTTTTCACAACGAGACCAGAAATGGCACCACGCTTACAGGAACCTCGAGTTCCAAGGGCCTGAGGCTGAGACTTACAAAAAAGGCCAATAAGTAATCAAAGCTGCTACAGCGCTGAACTCTAAACCCCCAAATAGAAGCTAAACCCCAGACCCACCCAAACTTCTTAAACTCCAGACTGAGCCTCAAACCCTTTGAGGCGGAGGCAGAGCGACTGCCCCGGCCTTTTCCACCGACCTGGGCGCCCACACTGCGGCGCGAGGAGGTGCGCTGGAACCGAGCTTTGGATTGCAGGGCGATCTGGGTTTCTTGCTTGGGGAGAGCCTTACTTTTCGGGTTTAAAGTAGGATTTCGTCCCAAGCTTGAGCCCAGGAGACATGCTTCCAGAGCGCGGGACGGCGGCCGCCCGGAAGGGCGCGCCGGAGAATGGGAACACCCCTGCAGGTGGATCTTGCAGCCGACACCGTAGGTCCCTGAAAGTGCAGGCACGGCGACCTCACGAATCGCCCAAAAACTCAAAATCTATGAATTGAGGACCAAAACAGGAAATAGAACACCTTCGCAGCCTCTCCGTTTTGAAGATCTTTCCTTGGACAAGTCCCACCATGAGCCAAGGAGCTGTTTAACCCGAGACCCCGAGTCAAAGGCATCGATGGCCCATCAGCTCGCAAACTTCCTAATTATAGCCTAGGCTTGGCTCCCGAGCAACCCTCAAACTTCGACAGCGGGTCTTCCAACCCTATCACCCCTCAGAGAACCGCCACTTCACAAGAACTCAGAAAACGAGTCCCATATGGCAAAGTACAAGTGAGCTTCTTGTCAGCCCGTGGCAGCAGGGGCCCCGGCGGTCACGCTGTCGCGCTTCTTTCGGCCGAAGGCGGCGCTTCGGGGGGGAGCGGCAGAGGACTTCGGGTGATTCCTTGTGGTGTTAGCTTTGGTACTTCTCGGGATTCAGGGGCTTCAGCATGCCGTGGATCTACGTTTTAGGAGATTTCTGTGGCCTTGCAGCGTTTTAAGCTTTGGGGTCGCTGCTTTCAAGTGCGACCTTGGAGTTCCTTAAGTTTGGCACATCTCGGTGAATGTTCGAGATCGTGAAATATTCCTCTGATGCCTTACTGATCTCGGAGCTTCAGGACACAACCCTCGAGGGTGTAGGAGCTTGGACGTTCTTCGCGTCGAATTCGGGCCCACTCGAAGCTTCCGATATCTCCAAGCTCCTAGCAGCCCCTCACATAAACACACCCTGTTGTCAGCAGCACCTTAGTAAAACAAGAAGAAGAGAGCAGCTCCTTTTTTGGGCGTTCGGAGGCAAAGCCGGGGGAGGCCTTGGCCCCGCCGGAAGCGCCGGAAGTCGGCAAGGCCGCCGAGGCGGCCGCCCCGGCCAGGCCCGGGCGGCGGCTTTGACTTCCGGGTTTCGTAGTGACTTAAAAGGCAGCCTCTGCAGTCTTATAGCTACAGTACCCTTATTGAAGCTTAGGGTTCAGGGTTTAGGGTTTAGGGTTTAGGGGGCAGCCTTCTAGCCTTATAGCCGACTGCAGTACCCTTATCGGAACCCAAGAGCAACCTGATTTGAAACATGACCGTCGGTGCTTTTGGGGGGTTCTGGATCGATTCGAGGCTCCGGTAGCTTCGCATGGGGTTCGAGTCAGGCTGCGAAGCAGTGAATTCCTGGCCACCACACCACCGATAACTTAAAGTTTCGCGCACAACTTCAAGTCCCAAATATTCACCCAAAACCCAAAGTCCCGGAAGACCAAGAGATCAATAGGCACCACAGGCAGGAAATCCGGAAAGCAAAACGAGCAAACACACAAACCACATATTGGTTTTCTCTAAATCAGGGTCCGTTTTTTAGGGCCTTTCTACAAGGGTGTGGGTGTGGCCGTCTTCATTTGGGTTCCTAGAAAGTGCCCTACTGTAGTTTCGACAACCACACATGTTCATGGTCTCGGCTGCAGGAGCGCTAGCGCTCTGGGCGCGCCGTCCTTCGACCCAGGTCTTGGCTTTGCCTTCGCTGATTTGGGATTCGGGTTTAGGGTTTAGGGCTCAGGGTTTAGGGTTTAGGGTTTAGGGCTCAGGGTTTAGGCTTTGGGGTTTCGGGTTCCCGTAGTATGAAAGTCTGAATATCTGAAGAATCGCAACTGACAGTCGCGCCTCATGTAACATTTGACTATTCTATAAGAGACCCCAAGGCCTGCTTCAGACAATACAGGCCCCAAGTATTGAACCCTGATTCCCTTCGTTTTGTGACTCGGGCACTGGGTCTCATCTATGGTTTTAAGGCTTCTCAGACCAAGTGTGGCAGCAGGTTTAAGCAGAGGCTCAAGCGGCAAAGAGCTGGTTTGCTATGACTTTAATTGTAACTCCTGCAGTTCGCAGGTGCCATGGATGTGATTGACGTCATGGACGTAATCGACTTGGACGACGATGAGCTGATATCCTCGGAGACAAAAGCGCGAGATTTCGAGAATAAGTGTGGGAAGCCGAAACCCTAAATCCATGTGCATATGTATATATACATATATATATATATATGGCTGAGGCTTGTCTTCTGCTGCCCAGCTCTGCCTGTGGTGCTCAGCGTGGGCCGTATCTCCAACACTCTGGGAATTCCCTATGCCTTCTGCGGCTTGGACTTGGGCCTGGAAGACTTTGTTTAGGGTTCAGGGTTTAGGGGTTACTTGAAGGATCATGGGACTTAGTAAGTAGGGTTATAAGTAGGGTAACTATACTTATAACCCCAATTAAGGGACTTATAACCTTACTTACTAAGTCCCATGATCCTCCAAGTAGGGTACCCTAAACCCCCCATATAGGGCTTAGTCCTTTGGGGGGGCCTTTAGTTAGGACCCCCTTCGCCCGTTTTGGGTTATGGCACCACTAGCCCCACCCCCCTATCAACCAGCTCCACCCAACCCTAGAATACCATCTTAGGAATACTCCAACATCCCTATCCAAGTGCCATAGCCTAAAAGGGGCAAGGGGTTCCTTATAGAATTTAGGTTCAGGGTTTAGGGTTCAAAGCTTGGCCTTCTCGGATTCTCCGATCATGTTATAACTCTAATGTAATTATAATACATAACTGCTTGTGTATTATAATTACATTATAACTACAAGTGTATGCAGCCCTCGACGGGGGTGATAACCTCCAGCGGCTGCCGTTCTACGAAATCCAAGCTGCGGAAGATGAGGTGCAGACGGCAAAGGGTGCTTTCGAGACGGCATTCAGTACCCAATCTGGCTTCAATTGGAACACGGGCAGGAAAGGAAAAGGCAAGAAAAAGGGGGTCCGTGGTGCTGCCCAGGCATTAAATCCCCAATGCGACCTGTACTCGAAGAAAGATGCTCCTCCAATGCACGTGGCAACCCTCTTCAGGCACACATGCTTCAAGAATGTCAGCCTCTCTGGTGTCGCAAGCCGTTGGGAAGACCTCACTGCTTCAGTTGTTCTGGCGGAGATCGCGCAGGCGCCTGCGAGTTTGCGACAAGCTATGGCAGCTCGAAAGAGCAATGCGCTTTGGTCCGCAGGAAATTCAACAGCCAGGTTGCTGCTTGGTGTGCATAAACGGAGAAGGTGCAGAGTTCGAGTTAGCAGCCAATCTTGCAGCAACGGGGCTACAACAACTGGGTGACGGCACAAAACTGAATTCTGTTCCGGTTTTTGCGATATGGACCCCTTATAGAAACGTCTACGCATCGATCTTGGATCTGCGTAACAACATCGACGAGCTGAAGAATGATACTGCAAAGCTGAAGAATGATACTGCAAAGATCGATGCCAAAATCGACGAGACAAAGAGAGCGCTCGATGCCAAGATCGACGAGACAAATGCCAAGATCGGAGAGCTCGATGCCAAGATCGACGAGACAAATGCCAAGACAAATGCCAAGATCGGAGAGCTCGATGCCAAGATCGACGAAACAAATGCCAAGACAAATGCCAAGATCGACGAGACAAATTCCAAGACAAATGCCAAGATCGACGAGCTCAAGACAGAAATTCAAACCATGCAGCAAGCGATCATTGCTGCTATCAGTAAAGGATAGGCAAAGCACAACCGTCCTCTCGACACTGGGACTTCTTTGTGCGAAAACAATTGCAATCGGTCGTCAGGTGTTATACTGTTTAGATACATCGACTCCATGAAGCCTGATTGCTCAATTCAATCATATTGCACTGTCGCGAGCTTGCTGTTCTGGAGCAACAACGTGGACCCCAATCCCTCTGCCAAATTCTAGAAGGAACCCCTCGCCCCTTTTGGGATATGGCACCT